TATTTATTTTTTTTTTTTTTCCTCCGGTACCGGGAACCGAACTCACGACCTTGCACTTGCCAGGCAGGCGCTTTGCCGCTGAGCTAAATCCCCAGCCCCTCATTACTGTAATTTTAAAGGAAAATATAAATTTAGTTTTCTGCACACTGAAAATGAGTATTTGTGAGATGATCATTCAGTTTTAAGCATACATTTTATTAATGAGATTAGGAATATCCCCACTTTACTTTTCAGCTACCACAGCAAGTCCTGAGAAACATGAAAGAAATGAGTTTGCAAACTGATATCCCATTAAGGTTGAGTGGCAGTGGATTTGGGACACACTTAAATTGCACATGAATCAGCCACCCTGAGCCAGAAGACCTTGCAGCTTAGCACTGTCAACAGAGTAGCAGTTTGCCTCCTTCAGTGAAGCAAGAGATGAGGAAAGCCACGTGACACACAGCAGCCAGATACTAATAGCAAAGAACAGGAAAGACATTCAGTTGGGACAAGGATTAGGAAAACTCTTCATGGTTTATTGAAAACAATATTGTTCTACCATGTTAGAAATACAAGAGCAGAACAATCTTGTAACAATCAGAATCCATCTGTGATTTTACACTTGAAAATAAAACTTTGTCTTTTTCAACACACACACGTGTTCCTGAGCTACAGCCATTGCACACATTGTGCCTCTGTACTGAACCAGGAAGACCATCTGTGCCCCTTGATGTTGCTGTGCGTGACCCTCAAAGCCTCTACCAAGGTGAAGGTGCACGGGCTATCTTTTTCTTTAGTATTCTTTGCTAGCTAATGCTTAGCACATAAATTCACCAGGTCTCTTTGAGGTAACTCAACAGTTTTTTTATACTGCAAACAGTAGTATTCCTAAATGTTCATGTGAATGCTCACAGCAATCTTAAACTAACTAGCAGTGATTAAAAGCATGCTCTTCTTGCATAATTATTTGTTGGATTTTACAAGATGCATACATTTCCTTGATGATAACACTCTAAATAGATTCAATTATATGAGCTGTGAGCACAAAATATGGTACATGATTCAATTAAAATCATTCATTATAGCAAAAGACATATTGTCATTTATACCATTCAAATTATTCCCCTTTGCTTTGAACGTATCTGTACAATCATTCTTGCTACATTCTCAAGTATTTTTAGAAGTTTTTCATCATTTTCTTTAAAAGTATTGTCATGGCTGCCTCAGTGCTCTGAATTAATTGAAAACATTTATCGTTCATGTTAATTTTGACCTTGGGGAAGAGTCACAGGTTGCATTCCTCCAGATCCACCTGAAAAGGGAGATGAGGACACACTGTGATGGTATTACAGCCTGCTCATAAGCTGGCGGGCACTGCCAACAGCTGTCTCTGTATTTGCTACCAGGCCCTGTCAGACACTCATGAAGAAGACTTTCACAACTGCTTCCAAGTGTGGCAAGAACAATGGAACAGAATCACATGGGCTCAAAACTACAGTACTTTCAGTGTTGTGGGGGATTATGGGAATGTGTTTTTTACTCTCACAAATGTCTAAATTTATATGTTCACTGTATACTTGATCACATCTTATACCTAGGGTTGAAAGTGTAACAAAATTAGAGATTTAAAAACGTCACCACAAAGGAAAAAGTTATTGTACCTTACATATGAAATTAAATCCCCAATTACCCCAATGTGACAGAGCTGAGTCACAGTTACATTAGCACACTACACGGCCTTCAAGCCCCAGCCTTTAAAGTACCCCAGAAAATGAGGGATAATTGTGATACTGAGTTTCACTTTAGGTTTGCCCCTTTTCCCTTTACTATGTTGACAAACTACCCATATAAAGTGTGTGTGTGTGTGTGTGTGTGTGTGTGTGTTTCACACAGCTCCTTATCTTTCTAAGCAGAGCAGCACCTGGCTGACACAAGACTCAGGGACGGAACTTTTGCTGATCCTCCTCATGTCTTTTATATGTCGGGACAGTGAGAACAGCTCTGAGTGGAGCTGGACTGGACCCTAGAGTCCTGGGTTTTCAGAAACTTTTCCTGGTTTCATATTCTGGGCCTGTAGGTTTTGAACACTTTCCTTCTCAGATCCCCACCCCCATGGGCCAGGACAAGTGTGGGAGTTGGTGGTCTCTCTGTGGTCCCTAAGAGAAAATGGAGGGAGGATTTAGAAAATAAAGACAAGAGACGATATCCAGGGTCAGGTGGAGTTACCTCTTTCCTGATGAAGAAGATGACTGACTTCAACAGTAAGGGCATTTATTTTATACACTTGCAAAATAGTATCATGAGAGATAATGTTGCCTAGACTAACAACTGTAATTGTCCAACTAGGATACCTTTTTCAATACTGAGGTTGCTTGACTGCCTGAGGCACTCTGGCACTGTCTGCCCTCACACATATGACCAACAACCAACTCCAGTGGCTCCCAACATATCTCCCTCTTCTGTTTAATTGCAGAAGTGATGGTGTTCAGTTGAAGCTGGAAAAGTTGTGTTTGAAGAATACAGTCCAAAGTCCATAACAGTGGTCAGTTATCAGCCTAGCTGGCAACTCTCAGAGGTTGTTAGTGACTTGAACATTTTACAGCTAACCTTTACTGTGGCATTGCTTCTTTACATTTTGTGGTTACACTTTTCTGCTGGATGTTTAAGACCAAGTTAAAGTGAGACTTGTTTAAATAAAAATTTAACCCTTTGCTATCTATCAAGGTCAGTTAAGTCTCCTCAGAAATCATCTTGAAACCAAGTACAGCATCTCTTGGTCTTCTGTCAGTGTCGGCCATCTGGATGAGTCACGATCATTGCTTGACCTAGTTGCTTTCTGTGAAAGCTTGAGAGTTTTTTCTCTCCTAGTGACTCTTTTAAACACTTTCCTCTGTGGTCCCATAATCTCCTTGATCAGAAAATCAGGTACTCAACTGAGTTATAGGATGTCACAGCAGAGGTTCTCTTATGTCCTGAGTCTTTACTGACCTCAGAGGGCATGGCCAAAATATTGGCTGTCCTCTAGCCCAATTTATCTCTCTAATTTTTGATCTCCAAACCTCAGTCAGTAAACATCCAGCAGAGAAGATTAATAACATAACATTTTAAGAGAGGCAGTAAGCTTAATATTACAATCTGATTAGCATACACCTTAGAATATACAAATGGAAACATTATTTTTTAACAGCCATGGATATCTTAATATTTAAATCCTAATAGAATGTTAACAAACAACAGTTACATATGTTTACCCAAAAATTTAGAAATCAATGCCATACACAACATAGGTATATGACAATCCTGATAACATTTTGTAACATACTTAAATTTTCATTTTGACATAACATGACCTTTTTAACCAAATATCTCTAATACACGGGAAGCTTTTATCTAATTTGTTGTCCTTTAATGAGATATACATCACAAGGTGTTGTAAAAGGCAGAGGTCTGAATCTGAAGGAAAGTCTTATCACAATAAACAATCTTTGTTTTACATTTTGGAAGGCCTATACACCCAGAAGTATGAATACATTTAATACACCATGAGATTAACACTAATGAATTATCATACACATGGAAAACCTTTGTTAAAAATTAGTTTTGTACCAAGAGTATGTTTTATGAGAAAACCTTATTGTAACTTTTACCGAAAACTTTCTTTTGACCTAATGACCCAATTATTGGGGTATCTCTCAAGAGACTATGGAGATCACTGGGGGCTCCTTATTAATGAATAAAGGTGGCCAATCCTCTATTCACCAATTGGAGTCCTACTGAAATAATTTGTCCCCATCCTAAGGACTGTGCTTAAATATTTTAATTTTGACATCATTTAAACCAGCTGGTAACTCAGGTGAAAGCATGCTTTTAAATCTATAACCCAATCGTATTATGATAAATGATAAAAGAAAAACTGTTAAGCCCAAACTAAAGGGGAATAGCTGCTCACTGAATGACAGACAAACACATAAACAAGTACACAGAACAAACAAACATCTTTATAAAATCAGAGTGCACTCAAATATGTTTTTGACCAAATTGAATTACAGTAACTCTATTACAATTTTAGAAATTTATACTTTAAATAGACTAGTCAGATTTTGTTGGCAATTAGCAGAGCTCTCTTTTCAGAAAAATTTGGATAAAACACAATCCTTAATCTATAATGAATATATATATATATATTCTTTGTATTTTATTGTGTCTTAAGAATACTGAGAATTTTCAGCTCACTGATCTCTATATACTCTGTCATTTACTCAAATCTTTAATTGCCACATTGATTACTATTTCCTGGTCCTTCTGGGTCAATTTCTTTGGTTGGTCTCAGGTTGGGTTTAGCTTCATCTTGTCTATGGGCTGTACAGCAGTCTCTGAGGTGTCACTATCACAGGATTGCACATTAGCTCCCCCAAAGGTAGAACCAACATCTTCTCCAGATCTGAGTTCATGATATAGCTGGACAGCATGCTCTGGTACACAAATAGGTTGCTCAGCATTCTCTGGAAAAACACAAGCATACCCTCTACCCCAGATAAATAGTAGACTGGGTCCCTCTCATTGCCCAGGATGGAGATATCTCCAAAGGACTCTTCTTAACCTTTTTTCTTTTACCTGATGGAACTGTCTTTCTGCTGCTGTACTTTCATCTTTTCTAGAATTTAGAAAGTTAATAGTATATATAGCCAAGTGAAGTCTATTATGAGGTGTGAATTTTGTAGGGAAAGATGTTTTTGTAATTGTTTGGTTTTGTAATTGGATTTTGATCATAAGGTAAGTGTGTTCAAAATTCCTTGACCTTGAGGGTTATATGGAATTCCTATAATAAGGGAAATATGAAAAGTTTTACCAAATCTTTGGAAAGCAGCACTTGTAAATGCTGGGCCATTGTCAGTCTTAAGTGTCCGTGGGAAGCCAAGGGCACTAAAGGCATCCAAGCAATGAGCAATGACATATTCACCTGCTTCACTAGTGTGAGCAGAAGCAAAAATTAACCCTGAGGAAGTGTACGCTGAAACATGGACCCAGAGAAAAGAACCAAATTCGGGAATGTGAGTGACATCCGCCTGCCAAAGATGATTGGGGTGTAACCCTCAGAGATTGACTCCCATGGAAGGTGAGGGAAGGTGTGTTATACATGAAGAGCACTGCCTAACAATTTCTTGGGCCTGTTCCCAGGTCAAATGGAACTGTTTGCATAAGGCAGAAGCATTTTGATCAAAGGTGGCATGAGAAGCAAAAGCCTGCTGAATGGCCTCTGAGAGAGTGACAGTGACAGCACCCAGCTATCTATCAATAGCAGTATCCCCCTCAGTTAGAGGTCCTGGCAATAGGGAATGAGAATATATATGACCAATACAACAAGGAACATACCTTACCATATGACAAATTGGAGAGTGTGAAGTAGATGAAAAGGATCTTCCTGACCAGTGTGTATGGTGGCAGTTTCAATGTGGCGCATCACAGCGCAGACATAAGCACTGTCAGAAAACAGGTTGATTAGCAATAACCTTGCAAGGCCCGTATGACTGCTTGTAATTTGTGCAGAAGAGAAACCTGTATCTTGTATTCTAGAAGAGGAGACCGTTACATAACCTCCCCTACCTGAAGATGAGCCATCCGTGAAGATGGAGATGCCTCCTGCTATGGGGACTGAGCTTATTTTTGAAGGGAAGACAAAAGGTGTGAGGGAAGCAAATTGAATTAATTTATCTGAAGGATAATGATAATCAATAACACCAGGAAATTAGCCAGTGCAGGTTACCAAGAGGATGAAAATTGCCATAACCTCTTTTGTTGATCTGAAGAAAAAGGAACAATGACAGTGTGCACTTCATGACCAAAAAGCTGAACAGCACGTGTTCTTCCACGTGCAATCAGTTCTGTCAGCATCCTGAAAGGGAGTAATAGTTTTATGTGGAGTATGTGGCATATGTAACCATTGTGAAGGGCCCTGAGACTGCCATAGGACCCCTGTGGGCATAGACTGCGTTGGGAAAATAATCAAAAGCATTGGCAGAGAGGGGTCAACTCTAGAGAGCTGAGTATCAGAAAGAGCCAGATTATCTTTATCTAATGCAGTTTTTGACTCTAGTGTAAGTGTTCTTTGAGAAGTGGGGGCCAGGTCTCCCTTGAGAATGTCAAAGAACTTAAATAATGAGTGGTTAGCTTAAGAGCTGGGCAGAATTGATTAATGTTATAAAGTAAAGTCTGAAAATCATTTTGTGTTGTACAATGATTAACTTGGATCTGAATGCTTTGAGGCACAATATGTCTTTGTTGGATAAGGTGACCCAAATATGAAAAAGTTTATCATAGCTTGCACTCTTTGGAGGTCAGCAGTAGGCCTGCCGTTATTTAAATAGGATATCAAAATTAAGCAACTATTTAAACTACATTGCTTTTAGATTGTATTCTAAACTTTTATATCTATTTGTAAAATACTAAAGTTTTTTTATACCAATTTAATTTTGGACTGTAAAATAGGCAATCAACATCACTAGGAATCACGAGAGCATCAAAAACTTATAAATTGGTAGCAAATCCTGTATATGATGTCAAGAAGAAAACTGTAATTAAAACGAGACAGTTATATTAGCTGTATAATCTAAAATGAGGAAAAATTTTTTACTATAAGTTTAAAAGACCAGGGAGATATATAGATAGATAGATAGATAGATATAGATATAGATACAGATTTATTTATTTCAATCACTGAAATATATATTTTTTGAGACAAGGGACAGAGTTTTATTGATGGAAATTATGGGGTTTTAAAATAATCTTTTAAAAAATCTCCCTTATTGTAAACCTTAGAAAATATGATTTGTTTTAACCTAAAGGTAAACGTTTTATCTTGTGAATGGAAACAGCCTTTTAAATTTATCACCTTAAGGGGAAAATGTAAAAGCCCTTTATCTTTTAAAATTTGCTCTATTCTCTGTGAGGCTTTATTCCTTGTGAAACTATTTCCAAGTGAATGGCATTTTTGCATCTCTCCAGGTCAGCAATTCAGCACCTCCACTAAGTCTGGAATATCAATCACACCCTATGGATTGCTGCTGCCACACCTGGAAACCGTCTATACTTGTGTCTGGGAGCCCTTAAAGATGTTTTTCCTTTAAGTAATCAATTTTATCTCTGAACCCAATAGGTGTCTGAAGATCCAAAGCATTTGGATGCCCTTTTCTCATTTATAAATTTTTTCCCAAATGAAGAATGACTAATTGAGTGAATCTCGAGTCTAGGGTGATTTGAACAGTGTTTTGAGTAGATTGAACCATAACCTTTATTTTTCCTGTATAATCAGCATCGGTAACACCAGGTTTTGACCTTTTAAAATAAGACTGCTGTGGCCTAGCAGGAGTCCCTAGCAGGACTGTACCCCGAGGCAAGGTCCGTAGACTCCAGTAAGAATAGTTGGGGGCCCCATTTTAGGAGTTAATATGAATCTGGAGGAGGGACCTAGGTCCAAGCCTCCACTCCACCACCTCAGGGAAGGGTGAGCTCCTAGCAGCGGCTCCATAGTCTTAGTACCTGGAATGGGCTCCCGCCCACATTTCTTCCCCCTCCACTAGCAAAAGTGGGCAGGCGGGCGGCACGGCAGAGGTGCACAAGTTTTTCTTGGGGCGCCAGGTGCAGCTCTTGCCCTGGGCTCTCACTCTGCCCCTGGATATCCGATTTTTTTCTCTAATTCCAAGCGCAAGCACCGATTTGAGCCAGATGAACTTCCGGTGCCAAAGTCGGGCACAGCCTTATCCGGGCCGGTAGTGCTGGCGGCGGGGAGAGTCAGGGTGCACCATGGTCATGTCCCGCCCATTAGGTTTCTGGCTCACATGTTGGGAGCTGGCAGCGTGCGTGCGTCAGTAGCTGCAGCCAGACAGGCTGTGGGGACACACAGGCGACTGGGAGGTCCCAGCTGGGTCTGGCTAGAACTGGCGCCCTGGGCTCTCCCTGAACCCACTTTGCGCCCCTCCTCCTGGCTGTGCCTGCGCCCTTGTCCCACTTGCGCTCAGGACTTAACTTTATAGTTTCCAGCTGAGTCCTTTGTGGTTTTAAAACCCCTTCTATCCACAATCCAGAAAAGAAAAGACACGAACCATGAAAACAGCACACACTTTTATATATATCCATAAACATCTGTGGTTTTTGAAACTTTCATTTTTAACTACTAGCAATTTCACATACTTTTCTTCTTTTTGTCTTCTCTGAAGGCTATTTTTTGTAACTATATTGTTTAAGGTCAGTAGACCTCCATGCCCCGCTCTTTACACCTGATAACTGTCAAATATAACACTCCAGTGCTAACTATTGACCTACCAATCCATTCCCCCCACCCTGTTGTGCACACAAATTCTGGGGAGTGTCCCCCCACCAACCGCTCTCCTTACCAGGGGACCCCATGTTGGGTGCCAACTGTGGGAGTCGGTGGTCTCTCTGTGGTCCCGGGAGAAAACGGTGAGAAGATTTAGAAAATAAAGACAAGAGACTATAGCCATAGCTGGGGTCAAGTGGAGTTACCTCTTGCCTGATAAGCAAGAGGACTGACCTCAACAGTAGGGGCTTTTATGTTATACACTTGCAAAGTAGTATCATGAGAGATAATGTTGCCTAGCGACTAAGCACTGTAATTGTCCAAGCAGCAAACCTTTTTCAATACTGAGGTTGCTTAACTGCCTGAGTCACTCTGGCTCTGTCTGCCCTCACACATATGACCAGCAATCAACTCCAGGGCCTCCCAACAGACAAGAGGTGATTCTTCCCCATCCCAGAGCTATAGCTCTGCAACTTTCTGCAGTGCAAGCCTGACTTCAGCCTGGCTTGAGGCCTCTGCTCCAGATCTCTGCTTGACTTCAGGGCAAGAAAGTCTAGTTCCATATTTGTTGAAGCCAACATGGCCACCTGGATAATTAGAAACCTGACTTCATATCATTCTCAGATCCAGGTTGATTTCAACCTGAGCAGATAAAGTTTCCTACAGAGCTCTCTATCTGATTGAGCAAAAATATAAGCAAAGCAATGTTAAAATAAGGCAATATTGTTCAAGACCAACCTAAGAAGAATCCCAGTTTTGTTCAGTTTATTATTTACCATCTCTTTCTTGCTGTGCATCATCAGACCATCAGGCCTTTTTTGGAAGAAGTGAAGTGCAAAATTGTGAGACAGGTGATCAGCTGAACAATGATATTAAAGAGCAATGAGAAGAGTGGCCAGATGCCAGGAAATATTTAGGTTCTGCTAAGAAGAAGATGGTGAAGAGCTTTGCTCTGTTTTTCCCCTCATGTAGTTGTTAGAATGGTTGATCCTTAGAAACACTGTAACCATCTAAAATGAGGAAGGTGTGAAGCCAATGACTGAAAATATATGTAGTGATAGAGGCAGAGTGGAAAAATAGCAAAAGCATTTTCTGTTGTCACCAAACAGGTAGAACAATTCTAAATTCTTCAGCATTCAGATTTCCCTTTATAGCTTAGAGCCCTGCTACAGTTTCTTGCTCTGACTTCCAAATTACTCAAATTATCCAGGGAAGATGTTTAAGAGAGGTAAATTGGGATGGACTTTGACCACATTAAGAGCCCAGGCAGTGTCATGTGTTTGTCTGTGTTTATGTTTGTCAATGTGTATTTTTTCTTGTGTGGATGAATGTGTGCATGTGTGTGGGGGGATGCTGTAATATGGAGTGTTAGAAAATATAATTATTTCCTACCTGGACATTTTATCCATGTTGTGTCAGTGTCTAGAGCAAACCAAATCACTTCAAAGTGTTAAGAAATGTTATCACCTTCATTTTTCTTTTTATATTGTGGTCATTGTGTACTCCTAAGAGTTCCTTAGTTGCTCCCATGTGCAAAGGTCATTCCCATAGAATATTATGAGAAACAGAACAAAAGTATGTGCAGAAACATGCAGAGAGCAGGACACAACTAATTATACTACTGAAGCAGATTGACATTGTCCTGTGGGTCACTGGGAGAAACTGTGCAACAAAGCTGATCCAGTCTGGTCTTGCATGAGACCCAGTTAAGTTACCCTTTCCTGAGTGACAGAAAGGAGCCAGCCCTGCAGCTGTGCCCAACACAGCTCAACACCTGCTGATTTGCATGTCCCAGAGTGCAGCAGTATAAGGACTTCTTCATAGGCTGTCACACCCTGTGCAAGAGTCAGACCCAGTCAGGACACAGCATGGACATGAGGGTCCCCGCTCAGCTCCTGGGGCTTCTGCTGCTCTGGCTCCCAGGTAAGGCAGGACAGCCATGGGAGTTTACTCAGCACAGTGTGTTCATTATTTCCTGCCTCTTCAGAGAAATTTTCTTAAACCCTGATTGATCATGTTTGTGTTTCCCGTGTCAGGTGTGCGATGTGACATCCAGGTGACCCAGTCTCCACCCTTGCTGGCTGCCTCTGTAGGAGACACAGTCACCATCACTTGCCGGGCCAGTCAGGGTGTTAGCAGTTACTTAAATTGGTTTCAGCAGAAACCAGGGAAAGCTCCTACCCTCCTCATCTATAATGCTAATAATTTGCACTCTGGGGTCCCGTCGAGGTTCAGCGGCAGTGGGTCTGGGACAGATTTCACTCTCACCATCAGGAACCTGCAGCCTGAAGACATTGCAACTTATTACTGTATGCAGCATAATAGTTCCCCTCCCACAGTGATTCAAGCCATAACAAAAACCTCCCAAAGAAGCAGAAGTGTGAGCCTGGGCTGCCCAGCTGCTCCTCCTGGAGCCCGTACCTGCTAAAAGCCTTCCTTGATGCAGCCAGTCTTTGAATATCACTGGAAGATTTGGTAAAAGATGCCAGAAATTTTCTTCTGAACACTTGTGACCTTTGCTCCTTTTCAGTTCTATCAAACCAGGTATTAATTTCGGTTCTCTCAAACCAGGTCTTTCTCAATACAAAGGAAAGACGATTGTATCAGGATTTTGTGTTGTGGCATCATTTGGAGCTCACTGAGTAAAACAGAAGACTTTCAACTTAGTCCAAGCAGGAATTTTTTAGTACGAAGAATTAAAACCTGTTCAACAGTTTTCATTCTCCTGAGGTAATGAGAGAAGTGGGTAATACAAACAGGGTTTTCCCTGGTGCTCCTCGAAGTGCATAGGACCAACTAATGGACCCTGGAGCCACAAGATTCTCCGTCCTGCCTGCAGGGAGAGCAGGGGGTAGAATTCTGATTTTATCCCTTGCAAAATCACCTCTTCAGGTAAGGCTACATCTGCCTGCTTTTTTTCATAAGGCCTAAATGCTCTACTGTCTTTTAAATCTCAGAGAATTATTGTCATACAGTCACCTCTTCAGCACAGAATACATGGAGAGTGTGTCTGAGAAATTTATTTTCTAAAGTGCTGGTGAAAGTGTTGATAAGGGACAGTCCAGGATGGCAGGATTGTCCGGTATCTCAGATATTTTCTAGTTATGAAGATTATCTCCAAATATCCTGAAATTTGTTTGCATTTATTAGCAATGAATATGGGGTCAGCACACAATTTCATCAAGTCACAGACTAAACTGAAAGAGGGGAGGATAAGAAGTATGTGGGAATTTATACATGAAGTTACAATCAGCATATACTTAAAAAACTGTCCTTGACAAAACTAAACAGAAGCAACAAAACAAAAAAGAATAAAACAATTTAAAATGGACAAAAAGTCTTAAAATGATATAAACATTTTTAAAAGTTGACTTTCTTAGTTTGAATGATTTTTCCCAAATACACATGATTTGCTGCTTTAAAAAGTACCCACTTGCTGGGAGTATCGCAAATGTCGCTCAAAACTCCTTAAGAATGAAGAAGTGCAGGGGCTGGGGATTTAGCTCAGTGGCAAAGTGCCTGCCTGGCAAGTGCAAGGTCGTGAGTTCAGTTCCTGGTACCGGAGAAAAACCAAAAAAAAGAATGAAGAAGTGCAGACCCTCCTCACAGTGCTGAAGGATGTCAGAGATCCAAAAAAGGTTCCAGATGCAATGCTGCAGTGGATATTTAGTTTAGTAAGAGATTTTTGCCTCAATGGGAACATTTAAGAAAATTCCTTTTTAAAGTTACATGCTAAAATACACAGAACTTTCTTTTAGTCTCAATGTAAAATTGTTTCTCAAAATACATATATATATGATAAATGTTGAAAAAACTAATTTTTTCAAAGTGTTATCAAATTCCTTTGTAACTAATAGTAATAAAAGTTTTTAGAATCATCAATAATAATCATCAATATCATCAAATTTTTAGAATCATCAATAATAATCAAATAATAATCATCAATAACAATCAAATCATCAATAATAATCAATCAATTCTTTTAGTCTCAATGTAAAATTGTTTCTCAAAATACATATATATATGATAAATGTTGAAAAAACTAATTTTTTCAAAGTATTATCAAATTCCTTTGTAACTAATAGTAATAAAAGTTTTTAGAATCATCAATAATAATCAAATGAGGGCTGGGGACTTAGCTCAGCGGCAAAAGCGCCTGCCTGGCAAGCGCAAGGTCGTGAGTTCGGTTCCCGGTACCGGAGAAAAACCAAAAAATAAATAAATAAATAAATAATAATAATCAAATGGGGAGAATGCATCAAAATACACAGAAACTATCTTAGAGGATATTGGAGGTAAACGTACCAGAGGAGCCTGGTTCGAGGATTTTCCTCACTCTTCAGTTTGTCAGAAATGCTGTGTCCTGGGTGTCTCAGGCCTTTGGCACTGGGTTTAGCTCAAACTCAATTTATAGGGTGAAAGTCACACCAATGTCCCAGAAAGATACAAGAAGGGCTACCCTGCCTGAATCTACCAGATCATCCTTGATATGAACATCCCCAAACAGGAACATAAATGCCTAAATTTTTTGTAGGCCTTAGTACCAACAATTATTGTGACAAAGTTGACTTACACAGTATTTACCTATCCACATATACAGACATAGTAATTTATGAAACTAGTGGCCTATAACTCTATTCTTAAAAACGTATTAGAAAATGATATATAGACAGAGGAAATTTATCTACCTACAATATAAATATTCCAATTTAAAAAAGCAATGTTAATTCCACTTGTGGAGAAATTACCATAGTTGGTTCAGACTAGCATATTTAGTAGTAATAAAAAATATAATCACAATATACTTTTAATACATGACATAGATATCATAAATTGTTAAGTCTACCTTTCATGAATACAAGATTATGGACAGATAGGGTGGCACACACCTATAATTCCACCACCTTGGGAGGCTGAAGCAGAATCACAAGTTTAGCCCATTCAGGGAAATCAAGAAAGTGAGACACTGACTAAAAATAAAAATAAGATCTCTATGTAATCCAGTATGAAGGCATTGAGTTCATTACCTAGTGTCTCAATAAAAGAGGTTTTAAAATATATACATACAGGGGCTGGGGATTTAGCTCAGCGGCAAAGCGCCTGCCTGGCAAGTGCAAGGTTGTGAGTTCGGTTCCCGGTACCAGAGAAAAACAAAAAACAAAAACTATATACATACAAATATAACATATATATGTCAATATACAATTCTAACAAGTATGTATCTAATTTTGATTAATTAATGGGTATACTTATATAATAAAAGTTTATGATACAAGTAATATATGTAAATATGCATATATATGCACATTTATAAAATTTTCTTTGCCTAGATATATATCATTGTTTATTCAGGCTCAGTATTAATGTCCATTGATCTCTGGATACACTGTTTATGTCTATACAGGATTAATGTCCGTTAATGTCCATTAATGTCCAGATACAGAATTTGCTTTCTGAAATTGTTCTTGTGATCCTTGTCTGTAAATCACTTATGAAATGCTACACTCACCTGAAAACACTGTAAAACATCAGTAGATGTCTATAGAGTCAAGATGGAGGTAATTAGCTGAACAGAAAAGTTAAGAAATTTCAGTTTGTGAAAATTCCTAGGAAGTAAGCCTTTGATTTACTTCCATCTAAAACAAAGCCTCTTATTTATCTTTGTGACCAAAGATCTATTATCTGTTTTTATACAGAAAGCAATATAAAATAAAGGTATTAAGAAGAAGCACCAAACTATCTGAATGGCTAGAGAATTAAATAATGGATGAAACCACTTGTCTCCAAGGTGGTGTGGAGGAGCATACTTGTCCTGGTAAGAAAATGTGTATTAAACTCTTTGAGATAGAAACAATGAAGTTCAATATTCTCAAAATGATATCTTAAAACTGCTTCTTAATTCTATAAACATTATTCTAGTATCCGATCCCTTGTTTTATCAGGAGATATTCAAGATTTGGATCGAATGAATTTTCTGGTCTTTTAGCAAATCAGAGGACAGGAATAAAAGGTACAACTGTGTGGTCACTAAGTTACTATATTGTATAGGCTGTTCTTTATATCTGTCATTTCTAAATATAATTACAAAATGGACTTCAAAACTTGTAGACAAAAACATCAGTCAACATGTTACTCTTTGGGCTCTAGAGTGACCTCAACTAGATCAAGCAAAGTCCTATGTCCCTGTGCATCCTACAGGTTTAAAATGACAGGGAGCTGAAGTGATCATATGTGTTTCTCTAATTATCTCAGTTTCCTCCTTCTGTAAAGAGAAAAGAAACACAGAGACACAGAGTTTCTTCCTACTAACTATGAAGAATGAACAAGCCAGATATTTAATATGGAGAAAACAAGGTGTACAGTCCCAATTCCCAGAATTTAGGGATAAAGTTCAATAAAATGATTATTCAGCAAAATAATATTCGTGTTAATGTCAAATAAAAGTGCAGATGAGAAGTGAAGACCATGTTTGCCGCAATGAGGAGTGATAAAGAGCCACATCTCTGATCTGGATTCCATCACAGCAGACAGAATAGGGTCCTGCTTACAATGATCAACATCAAAAAGTATTAAAATATCCATGGAATTAAATTCTGCCAGCGAAGATAAGCAAAACAGCAGAAAATATAACAATACATCCAAATGAATGAATCTGAATGAGCAAATGAATGAGTCTGGTTGTAGAAGAGCAAGGAATGGAGAGATAATAACAGCCCAGGAGCTTGGGATTTATTTTTCACCTTTCTGATGTCAGATTAAGCTGTGAAGGTGAAATCATGCTTTGCTCCTGTGAGAAACTGTGGTGTCTGGCACTTCAAAACTGCCTCTGCTTCTCACTACTGAACATAATACAATTTGCATATTTCTCCCCCATGTTACCCCCAGCACCTCTGAAGCCAGGCAATGCATGTTCATGGACTGAT